CTCTCTCTCTCTCTCTCTCGCTCTCGCTCTCGCTCTCCTCCTACCTTCTTAGTCTAAGTCTACTTCTGGGTTCTCCTACGGGACTACTACGAGTAGGAAAGATGGTTATGAATTCTGATGACATTGGAGACAGCGACATTGGGACTATAGGTTGAGCAATACTTGTGGGATCTGATTTCATCTGCCTCTGGAGATGTACTTGACATTGTGAGATCGATATCTGAGACATTGTTGGACACTATATTCAGGAAATTTCGGACTTTCGCCATCTCTGACATTTCAAGATACTATCTTTGGAAACATTGAGTTGATGTCATCTTCCCTCTCCTCCTCCCTTCGTCTGTCTCCTCACTCCATTCATCCGTGGATGATCTCAGACCCTGGCCTTTCGTCTATGTCCAAGGCCAGGGCTTTCACACCCCTGATGCATGATTGAGAGTGTTCGATTGCAGTCCGAGTCAGGTCAGAGTCAGTCCATGGGTATCAAGTCTTCCGCTGTGTTTGTGTCAACTCTGTATTATCTGGTCGGTTCTGGGAATCTGTGCCATGCTTATGACTGTGTTTCACGAGTATGCAACAGTTTGGTATCGGAGCAGACCAGCGTTGGATGACTCACCATTGATTGATTGATTGATTGATTGATTATCTACACCTGTATTCTGTTATCACTAAATCGCAAGTTGCAATTTTTTTTTTTTTTCTCGCACTTACATAGTAATTACGTCGTTAAATTATAAATTTAGGTTTTGCGACTTTTCTCCATATTGCGCTAATTAAGGAATCGTTAATTACGAGTAACCTAATTAGCGCTAATTAGGGTTAGTCCTAACCTAATCTAAACGGCCTATCAACCTATGGGAAGGAAGGGCCAGCCAGGCACCGCGCCAGGTAAGGCAGATCGGGCCTGAGCACGGCCACATTCAAACTGCAACCTCACGGAACTTTCACTTTTTGCAAAATGCATCGTTTATTGCGTTAAAAGCTAGGCTACCAGCCGGGCTGCCCGGGTCCCGGGTGGCCAGCCCGTGCAAGGACAAGGGAGGGTCCCAGCAGAAAAAAACAAAATCCAAAAAAATCCGCAAAAAAACTATGTCATGCAGAAAAATTAACTGAACAACTTTTGCCTCAGGGTCACATCGAAATTCTTTACCAAATTTAAAATATAAACTAAATTTTTAAAATATTTTTTAATTTTTTTAATTTTTAAATCTTTTTGGCCCGGCCGGGCAAGTGACCCCGGGCCACTCTGGTAGCCTAGGTTAAAAGGTTGAATCTTTATCTTCCTATTACCATTCATCTTCTGCTTACTTAGCAACCTCGTGATGATGCTAAATTCCCCTGATTAAATTTCGTGAAATTATTAAAGTTATGTTTAAATGTTTAAACTTGCTCAAACTTTATTCATTTCTTTTGCGAAAATTCAAATATCCTTTAATTAAAATTTAACTTTTGTGAAATTAATTATTGCAAATTTAAATATTCCTTAATTAAATATTTAATCTTTTGCCAAAATTAAATCTGATTAATTCGTATTTTTCCGATTAAAATTTATTTAATTTCTCGAAATTCGAAATTTCCGAGGGGGGGGAATTTTTTTTTTCTTTTTTTTCTTCTCTTTTTATCCTTGCGCAGGGGCCATGCTAATCTTCTCTGTATCGTTCCAATTTTAACGGATGTCCCGAAGGACAGGGAATTTTTTTTTTCTCTTTTTGATTACTGTCAAATTTCGAGGTCAGGGGAGAAAGGGACTGTCTGTGCATTGTTTGCCTCTCTGCCCTTCCTCCACCCCTACCTTCTCTCTCCCCTCCTCTCGGGACTATGGACGTCAGTCTCCGGCCACGTCAGCATTGTGCCATATCAGCAGCGGGCCACGAATGCAGATTGCCACATCAGCCACGTGCCACCTCAGCGTGCCACGACAGCTGAGTGCCCAGTCAGCAGCGGCCACCTCAGCAGTGCCACATCAGCAGTGCCACATCAGCAGGTGCCACCTCAGTGGTGACACGTCAGCAGCAGACGAAGACCAGAATACTTAATGCGCCGCAGTCAACGACTTGCGGAGCGCGGATCCGCAGGAACCAAGCCCCAACAGGGACCTAAGACACCTCGGATCCCGCACAGGCGACGCACGACCATGGCTGCTACCGCTGACGTCAATGCACAAGCCAGCCCCAAGAGGCAGGTTACCCCTGCTATCCCAGTTCAGCAGGCCGATGAACCGCTTCTGGCGTTTCTCAAACGTCTCCAGTTCTACTCAGAGACCACGGCAGCTGAACTGAGCAAGTGGGAAGAGGAGGAAGCCGCCCGCCAGTAGGAAATTCAACGCCAGCTGGCAGAGGCAGAGGCAGCACGTCAGCAGGCCGCAGCAGAAGCTGCAGCACCCGCATGGTTGCAACAGCAGCAGGTCGAAGCAAGTCAGAACCAAGTTCGTTACCAAGCTACAATGGAGCTCGGCAACGAAGAAGCCACGACCGGAGGTTACTCCGACAGCAGCATTTCCGAGCAAACGAAGAACAAGAGGAGCCGACCGAGGAAGAGAGAAACAACGAGGCCACAACAGTTTTGATGGAGAATCTGCTGTACACGTGCAATTGGCAGCAATGTGATCTGTTGGCCATGCGGCAGGTCTTCATCCGCCACGAAACGACGTTTAAAGCATTGGACAAGAAGATCGCTACCATGCAGACCGAAGTTAGCACACTACACGCCGCCAACAGCCAGCAGCAGACAATCAACGACCAGCTGCAGAACGATGTCAGCACAGGGTTGGCACAACTATCGGCAGCTGCGTCGACGGGCGGCGCAATGGCAGACTGCAGCCCAGCCTAGGCCGCTCCGGCCAAGCAACTCGAGGAGCGGATCAACCACGTGGTCGCGTCCCTCAGCGGCATCAGCAAGTTTGCTGGAGCGTTGACAGTCAGCAATCAACTGCAGACGCTCAGCGACCACGTTCAGCAACGACCGGCCGCTGTCGCCAAGGAATGGAAGATGCCGAACTTCAAGATCGAGAAGTTCGATGACTATGACAAGACTGATCCGCTGCAATGGTGGATGGCTTTCAACGCGGAGGCGGATGTACATCCCACTCCAGAACTACGGCGGCTTGACGCACTCTACGTCCAACTTATCGGAGGGCCACAGGCTTTCATGACCCACATGGCCGTCACGTTGGAATGCACCATCGCTACCCTCCACACCAAGATTATGTGGGAGGAATTCGAGAAGAAATGGAAGACCCGGTTCATGGTCAACAACGACAAGCGTCACGCCTTGAACAAGATCTTCCGCAAGTTTCAAGGCCAGCAACCTTCACGGGAGTGGCTGACGGAATGGCAAAGACTCGTCGCCACCCCGGAGTTGAACTTACCGTTCGACGCAATCCGGGCCGAATTCTTCGCTTGGTCATGCGACGCCTTGACAACTGCTCTCGGCAGCGAATTCCAGTATGAGACCTTTGATGACATGATCTCAAAGGCAAGAGAACTAATCCAAGGTAACCGGCGCACGGACAACGAGGCCCGCCAACAGCCCGGTTATGTGGAGACAGGCAAGGTCAACGGACGCCGCAAGTAGCAGCAGTCCAACAAGGACGTAGTGAGGACCACCCAGCCGCGTCTACATCAAGTGACAGAGATGTGGCGGCAGCGATACCACCGCAACGCTCAAGACCCCGAAGGGGAAAGCAAAAGGTGAAACCAGCGTTGGCGGACGGAGCACGACAGGCACCATGGACAAAGTTTGGCATTACCGAGGACATGTTCAAGTTGCGACAAAAATGGGGATGCTGTTTTTGGTTTAACAGCACCAAACACATCACCAGCGCATGCCTCGACAAGGACAAGGAGAATGTCAAACGTCCAAGCTCGGGAAACTGAGCACCGCTGGAAGTGCGGCGACATCACTTCCCAGTCCCCGGAGTCGGCTGCCTTGCTAGCAGTCTCTCTCATATCCAGGGATGACGCGGTAGTCGCAAGTTCTCGCATTGATTTTGAGAACTATGTTGTCGAGCTGGTCCCACCGTTGAACCAGCCTCTCCGCATGCAAGATTCAAGCGCATGCGCGGTAGTTCCGTCGTCGGCCAACGAACCGGTTGCTTCGCCAGCCCTTCTATCGGAGGATCCATCACTTTGGGCGAGTCTTGAGGAACTCGACCCGTTGACGGTTGAGGACTTCCAATGGTTGCCTCTTCCCTCCACCGGTTCTTTGCCAACTCCGCATTGCAATGCCTTAATGGCACATTTGCGTGAATACTTGCACGTTGCAGTACCACCTCCGTCGACGGACGGCGGAGTAGCAGTTGTTGGCCTTCGTAGCTATCTTGCGAAGATCGACCGCGAGCACGCAACGCAATGGTACGTCGACATCGCCGCGCCGCTCCTCTACATCCGCATTTAGATCGGAAAGGCGACATGCAGTGCCTTGATCGATTGTGGAGCGTCTCGCAACTACATCAGCCAAGACTTCGTGGCACGCGCCGGGCTTGGCCCGCGCGTTCGAAGGAAAAGTCAGCCTACGCACGTCACGTTGGTGGATGGTCACACGCAAAAGTCAATCGACTGATGCGTTGACTCGGTGCCCGTGTACTTTGGCCCGCTAGCATGCGAGGTTGTGTCATTCGACATATTGGACACTAAGTTCGATATGATCTTAGGCATGTTGTGGCTGCAAAGCGAAGACCATCCGGTGAACTTCTAACGACGCACCGTTCACGTTCGTGACCGTCGTGGCGAATTAGTTCCGTGTACAATGCCGCTTCGTCATCCTTCGATTGGTTGTCACGTGGTCTCCGCGGCGAGCATTCGCCAATCCATCCAGCGGAACGACATCAAGGAGATGGGCATATGTTTTTTTCACGCTCTCCCACCCGGTGATCAGCCGAAGACGGATACGTCGGAGCCACGCATCATTGAGCTGTTGGACAGCTATGAGGATGTCTTCCGAGCTCCCGCCAGAGTAGTATCGGCCCATACGCCACGGGATCACTCTCGAGGACGGCGTCGTACCTCCGCGCGGATGTGTCTACCGCATGAGCGAAGAGGAGCTTCAAGTGCTTCGGGCACAACTAGACGACCTCTTGGCCAACGGATGGATTCGCCCTAGTTGTTCGCCATACGGTGCTCCCGTTCTTTTCACCCGGAAGAAGAACAAGGACCTTTGTTTGTGCATTGACTATCGAAAACTTAACGCACAAACGATCAAGAACGCCGACCCTCTCCCTCGGATCGATGATCTTCTCGATCGACTAGGAGGCGCCAAGTACTTTTCGAAGCTTGACCTCAAGTCCGGATACCACCAGATCGAGATCCAACCAAGAGATAGGTATGAGACCGTGTTCAAGACGCGATATGGGCACTTTGACTGGATCGTCATGCCTTTCGGACTCACCAATGCCCCGGCTACTTTCCAAGTGGCTATGACGACGAAATTCCGCTACTTGCCCGACCGCATCGTACTCATCTACCTTGATGATATCTTGGTTTAACGTCGGACGCTGGACAATCACCTCGAGCACCTTCACGCCGTGTTGGAGTGGCTCCGTATCGCCAAGTACAAGGCGAACAGCAACAAGTGCGAGTTTGCCCAACAAGAGTTGGAGTACTTAGGCCATTATGTTACGCCGCAAGGCATTCCTCCGCTCGCGGACAAAGTACAAGCCATTCAAGATTGGTCGGACCTTAAGTGTACTACCGATGTCCGCTCCTTTCTTGGCTTAGCACCTTACCACATGCGCTTCGTCAAAGGGTTTCAACGGATCACTGCGCCATTGTCGCGACTTCAATCCCCCTTGGTGCCCTTCGAATTCAACGACGAAGACCGACATGTGTTTCATACGTTGGAGACGGCTTTGCTCCAAGCTCCCGTCTTAAGCATCTATGACCCGACCTTGCCTACCAAAGTGACTACGAACGGTTCCGGGTACGACATTGGCGAGGTCTTGGAACAGCATGACGGCACAGACTGGCATCCGGTTGAGTACTTCAGCCAAAAGGTGCCACCCATCAACACTCTTGATGATGCGAGGAAGAAGGAACTGCTAGCTTTTGTCACCGTACTTAAGCGTTGGCGTCACTTTCTCCTCGGGCGTCGGCGATTCACGTGGGCAACGGACATCCGTTGACTTATTACAAGATGCAAGACACGGTGAGCAGCACTATCAGTCGATGGATGTACTTCATTGACCAGTTCGACTTCACCTCCAAGCACATTCCCGGCTCCTCGAACAAGGCAGCGGATGCTCTCTCACGAAGACCAGATCTTTGCGCCTTGGTGCACTCCACATTCGGCCTCGATGAGAACCTGCAATAGGATTTCGTAAACGGCTACAAGTCGGATCCGGGATTCTCCACAGTCTATGTGGACTTATCATCGAATCACCCACCGGAAAGCAATTATCGCATTATCGACGGCTACTTGCTTCTCCATACACGAGGCAAGGACTTGTTGTGTGTTCCCCAAGACCGCATCTTGTGCACTCGCCTCGTTGGCGAATACCACGATTCGCGGCTGGCGGGACACCTTGGCGTCGCACGCACACTCGCACGACTCCGCCAGCGATTTCACTCGCCGGACATCATCAGCGATGTCAACCGATACATTCAGTCATGTGCATTTTGCCATCGGAACAAAGGGCGCCATCAGCTTCCGTACGGCGAACTGAAACTATTGCCGATTCCTTGGGAACCTGGTATTTCCATCGCTATGGATGTGACCGGTGCTTTCCCTCGCGATCGCCTTGGCCATGATGGTATTTTCACGGTCGTTGACCGTTTGAGCAAGTACGCTCGATTTCTTCCATGCAAGTATCATGTGACAACTCCCGAGCTCACACGACTTTTGCATTGGCTGGTTTTGCAGCCACGGCGTTCCGGAACACATCGTCAGCGACCACCACACTCGTTTCATGTCAGCCTTTTGGACGATACTCGTGGTGGAATCTGGCACCAGCATGAAACCGTGTTCCGCACGGCATCCTCAAACGGATGGGCAAACGGAATGTGCGCACCAGACTGCGCAGATGATGCTCCACACACTCATCCGTCCGGCTGAGAAGGACTGGGTTGACCGCCTTCCCGACATCGAGTTCGCCTACAACACTTCGGTGCACCCGACGATTGGTGTAACTCCATTCGAGTTGCATCACCTGGACGAAAAGGACAAATCTTCGCAGACATTTTGCTTCCACGGGCTGCCGATATTGACGTCGCTTGCTCCCCCGCTTCTACACGGAAGTACAGGGAACTGCTGGCCAAAGCCCGCACAAACATGCAAAAGGCTCAGGTCTGTATGCAGCAGCAAACGAACCGGCATCGCATCCCATGTCCAATCCGCGTTGGCGACCTGGTTTGGGTCACCTCCGAGGAATTCGCGCTCGAGCAGCACGTCTCGCACAAGCTCCTCCCTAAGTGGTTTGGACCATGGAAGGTCACTTCAGCTGTTGGCAACCACCCCGCGGGTCCATCTTTCATCATGGAGATTCCCCTGCATTTGACGGTCCACCCGGTATTTCACGCTTCAAAGCTGGCGGTTTACACTCCAGCCTCCGTAGCGGACTTCCCGCTGTCACACGACCCTCCTTTAATGAATGGTCACCAGGAGGTCGACCGCATTCTCACGCATCGCAAGCATGGCAACAAGCCAATGCAGTACGAAGAACCAATGCGATCCTGACGACACACGCTGGATTTCATGAGCTGACCTGAAGGCGACAACACCCCTCATCTTCGCGCATTATGAAAAACAGCGACTTGCTAAGGAAGCTGCCCAACCTGCCCGCCCGGTACGGACATCGGACAGACAGCTTCGCCCTCGCAGTTAGCTCGGTCTTCAAGGGGTGAAGTGTGTGGCATTCTGAGCCACACGGCCCCCAGTTAGGGCCCGGTTCCAGGTAGGCAGGGTAGGCCTAGGCACCAAGTCCAGTTTGAATCTGGACCATTGATCAAGATCAACGGTCCAGACCGGTAGGTACCAGCAGGTAGGAGGCCGACCCAGCATTACAAAAGGCTGGGTACCAGCCTCGGTGGTAGGTTAGAAGTTAGTGAGGTTGGAGTTGGTCTTCAGGATTAGCGCAACCTTGCAGCGTTAGTGAGATTAGCATTAGCACGTGCAGCGAGGAGAGGACGAGCGCAGCAGCGAGAAGGAACAGTGCAACGGCCCTGCCACGCCATAGCTACCAGATAGGTAACGGGAAGGAAGGCTTTGCCTTCTCTCCCTCTGTTCCTCCCCTCCCTTCCTCTCTCTCTCTCTCTCTCTCTCTCTCTCTCTCTCTCTCTCTCTCTCTCTCTCTCTCGCTCGCTCTCCTCCTACCTTCTAAGTCTAAGTCTACTCCTGGGTTCTCCTACGGGACTACTACGAGTAGGAAAGATGGTTACGAATTCTGATGACATTGGAGACCGCGACATTGGGACTATAGGTTGAGGACTACTTGTGGGATCTGATTTCATCTGCCTATGGAGATGTACTTGACATTGTGAGATCGATATCTGAGACATTGTGGGACACTATATTCACGACATTTCGGACTTTCGCCATCTTTGACATTTCAAGATACTATCTTTGGAAACATTGTGTTGACGTCATCTTCCCTCTCCTCCTCCCTTCGTCTCTCTCCTCCCTCCATTTGTCCGTGGATGATCTCAGACCCTGGCCTTTCGTCTATCTCCAAGGCCAGGGCTTTCACACCCCTGATGAATGATTGAGAGTGTTCAATTGCAGTCCGAGTCAGGTCATAGTCAGTCCATGGGTATCAACTCTTCCGCTGTATTTGTATCAACTCTGTATTATCTGGTCGGTTTTGGGAATATGCGCCATACTTATGACTGTGTTTCACGAGTATGCAACACAAGGGTCTAAGAAGACCTAGAGGGGCTCTGGTTGTAGTCTTATTACGCTGACACACCTTGCAGCTGCGCACATACTCTATGCAGTCTGCTTTTATTCCTGGCCACGTGTATGACATCATCAGGTTAGCTAAGGTCTTCTGCCATCCGAAGTGTCCTTCCGTATCGTGGCATTCCCCTAGAATCAGGCTACGGATTTCTTCATTATTGGGGACACATAATCTGTCAGCGATGTTGGTCTTCTCGAACAGTAGCCTTTTCGTGGTCCGGTAGTGTGGCTCACTATCTGGGGCTTCCCTTACTCTTTTCAGCAGCCCATTGTAGATCGGGTCCTGTGCATAGGCATTGCTCACTTTCTGCTGTAGATTGGCCCCTATGTCTAGGTAATGCACTATTGCGCTGAAGTAATAAGATCTCCTACTTAGCGCATCAGCTACCACGTTATACTTGCCTTTGATGGGTTTCAACTCAAAGTCATAATGGTGTATCTCAGCAGCCCATCTAGTAAACTTGGGCGTCATCTTGGCCTATGTCTTTAGCCATCTAAGAGTCTCGTGGTCTGAGTAAACCTTGAAATGCCCCCCAAGCAGGTAATGTTTCCAGTGCTCTAGAGCCTGCCTGAGAGTGTAGAGTTCTCTTTCATATGTCGATGCTGCGACTTTCTCTGAGGGCAGCCTGGCTGACATAAACTCTACGGGCCTATAACCGTTGCCGTCATATTGCTGTAAAACGACACCTATGCCATACTGACTCGCATTTGTAGTAACAACGAATGGTAATGATGGATCAACAACTTTGAGGATGGGGTACTCTATCAAAGCCTTCTTCAATTTCTTGAAGGCTGGCGTACAATCCTGGTCCCACTTCCAGATAGTCTCTTTCTTCAGAAGTCTACGAAAGGGAGCAACGATCGTGGAGAAGTTCCTCACGAACTTCCTGTAGTAGTTAGCCAGTCCTAGGAATGAGCGCAACTCTGTCAGCGTTTTAGGAGTTGGCCAATCTCTGATGGATGCAATCTTGTTGTCCTCAGGCCGAATGCCATCGCCGTCTAGTACATGGCCTAGGTAAAGGACCTGTGTCTTGACCCATTCGCACTTCTTCGCGTTAATCTTGAAGTTAGACTCTCTCAACTTGCTTAGAATCTGTCGCAGATGGCCCTCATGTTCCTCGAGGGTCTTGCTGAACACTAAGATGTCGTCTAAATAAACTACGACGAATCTATGTAACCACGGTCTAAACAAATCGTTCATGCAGCGCTGAATTGTAGTTGATGATTAGTAAGTCCAAACGGCATCACTATGAACTCGTAATGCCCATATCTCGTCCTGAACGTCGTCTTATACTAATCGTCAAGGTGCACCTTTATTTGATGGTACCCCAATTTCAGATCTATCTTCGAGAAGTACCTGCATCCATGTACTCGATCCAGCAAGTCATCTATACGCGGTAATGGCTCTGCATTCTTAATCGTGATGGTGTTCAGTCCCCTGTAGTCTATACACATGCGAAGCTCTCCCTCCTTTGGGACAAACAAAACAGGTGCGCCAAACGGTGACGAGCTAGGCCTGATCCATCCTTTTTCTAGGAGCTCATCTATTGTTTGTGAAGCTCCTCTAACTCCTTGGGAGACATCCTGTAGACTGCCCCCTTAGGCGTTCTACTGCCAGGTTCTGTCTCTATACAGTGCTGGATTGGTCTGGGCACTACTCCTGAAGGTGTTTCAGACAAGTCCTTGTACTCTTCCAGCAAACTGGCGATAGAAGGATGAATCTTTTCCTCTTCCTTTGGCTGATCATAATTCGGCCTAACATAGGCTACGAACACCTGCTCTTCAAGCTGCTCCTTCCGCACAAGTCTGGCGAATGCAGGAGCGCTGAGGCAGCAATGGGCGAGGGGATTATCTCCCCCGAACTCGTGAAACAGGCGGACTTGCTTGACTTCGCGTGATGCACTAGGGAGCCTGCACTCGTGCTCTCTAAGGTGAAGTGTGGCTCCCGCTGCCTCTCCCCAATTTGTGCCTAATACAATATCAAACGGGAGACTCTCTTCTACGAGGAGGGTCAAGGAGTGCAGTACTTTTTCTACCTTCCCGTATTTCTCGAGGCGGAAGTAGGCGTGGACCCCCTCGACATACTCTTTGATGCGCATCCTACTGTGAAACGGTATTCACCAGTTCGCAGTAGCTGATGCAGATCCCAGGGCTCGATCCCTAGTCCCCACCTTACCTGTGTCGACCCTTAGAGTTGAACCCGTGACCTGTGTATTTGTAACAGTGGTAGACTGTCGTCGGGTCCAGAGGTCGCCAGGGTTCGACCTGTAGACCTGTCGAGTAGGAGTCTTAGTCAGGTCTAGAAGTTGTAGCTGTAGCGTTCTTGAAAGGTCAAGGTCGTAGCTGCTACAGTCCAGAAGGGGCAAAGTCGTAGCTGCTATAGTCACGAAAGGCCAAGTCTACGGCCTTCCGGAAGGTCCCAGTAGTGGCCTTTTGTAGTTGCCCACGTTTAGGCTGAGGCAAGTGGGCAAGTGGTGAGGCAAGTGGTGGAGTCTGCCCGTGCTGAGTCAGCAGTCCCAGTCCTAGGCAGTCCTGGTCCAGTCAAGCAAGTACCGCATGGGACTGTGTGCACTTCGGGCATGGGAAAGGGCCAGACCAACGAGCTGCAGAAGTATAAATCAAGAGGCAGCGCCCAGCCATTCATTCATTCCTGCGTGTGCCATGCGGAAGCGCTGCCACAGTGACTTGTGCAAGGAGGTCTGCAGTGGGCCCGAAGACGAAGTGGGCAGAGAGACGGAGCTTAGCCATAGTGATAGGGTAGAGGCGGCCATAGCCACCATAGTTGTAGTTAGTGTTCAGTGTGTGTGTGTGTGAGTGTTTAGAGAGACGAGTGTGGGATATCCAGGGTGATCCACTGTATGCGAACAGAGAGTTGTATGGGCGCTATATCGCCATAGCCATTGGAAGTGAACTCATATTTGGGTTGCCATATCTCTGAGTATTGAGTGGGCGCATGTTGCCAGTTTGCTGCGCTACTGTTTGCATGCATGTAAAGTGTGAATGAAAGCAAGTCTGGTTGCATTGGTATAGGAGCTGGTACTCGCTGTTCCACGCGCTGCGTTGTGTGTCACAAAGAGTGATGTGCCATAGCGAAGGGGCCGACGAAGAAGAAGTCCGCCATAGCGGATACCGAGGTTGAGGAAGCCGCCGCGCGCACCTGCAGAGAAGACCACGACGAAGCAGAAGACCGAGAGAGGAAAAAAATGAGAGAGAGAGGGAGAGAGAAAGGTTGAGCGATACAAGATTGGCTTACCCCGTACCTGCGTTGTAGACATCGCTACGGCGAGAGGAGAGAGAGAGGAGAGAGATGAGCGATACAAGTTTGGTTGTCACTTACCTGTGAGGTGTGCCGTGCAGTTCCACGAAGTGAGAGGCGGCCATAGCCGCGGAGCTCGACCACAGAGAACTAAGGAGGTTGAAAGAGAAGGCAGAGGAGGAGATTGAGAAGGGAGAGAGAAGCCATAGCCGAGAAGGAGAAGAGAGAGACGATAAAAAAAAAAAAAAAAAAAAAAAAA